AAGCAGACCCCCCGCCGAGCAGGGAGCCCGACGCGGGACTCGATCCCGGGACTCCAGGATCATGACCTGAGCCGAAGGCAGTCGCTTAACCAACTGAGCCACCCAGGTGCCCGGAGACTGAGACTTTTTGTCATCTTTTACTTTCTCTTTGTCAGTTAAATCCTGATAATAAATACAGTTACAACTAATAGTTGACATTTATATCTCCAGTGATTTTTTCATTTAAACGTAGCCATTAAAGGGAAATGAGCTATCAAAAAAGAAAATTGACAGTGAATAAACTGCTTTTCATGGCCTTGTGAAGTAGATTAACACGCGCGCGCACACACACACAAATCTCACTGTAAGCAGAGGAGGACATTTTTATTTTTATTTATTTATTTATTTTTTTAATATTTTATTTATTTGACAGAGAGACACAGCGAGAGAGGGAACACAAGCAGGGGGAGTGGGAGAGGGAGAAGCAGGCTTCCTGCAGAGCGGGAAGCCCGATGTAGGGCTCAATCCCAGGACCCTGGGATCATGACCTGAGCCGAAGGCAGACGCTTAACAACTGAGCCACCCAGGCGCCCAACATTTTTATTTTTACTTATTATTAAAATAACATCTTTGTCAGAAAACGTGGCTTCTGAAGTAGCTTCTCATTCAGTCTCACTCTTTCTTTGGCCTTCCTTCCCATATATAACTTCAGTGAGATGGATCTGGGGTCAGGAGACCTGTGTTCAAATTTACGTTCATTCATTCACATACTGTGTGAACTTGTGCAAGTCAAGTGACCTTTGGGAACTTTAGATTTCTCATCTATAAAAAGCAGGTAACACCCCTGTCACAGATTTGTCTGAAGACTAAATAAAAGAAAATTAAGCATCTAAAAATAGTTTTTAACAATGAAAGGTTCTTGATAAACTTATTTAATCTTCCAACAAAATGAAATACCACTCCTTTTTCAGGCATTCCCATTTTGTAGCTTTTTCCCCAATTCTGTTACCTACTTCCTGTTTTGCTAAAATATTTCATGTTTCTGTATTAATAATCATCATTACATTATCCTGTCATCTTTTGCACAATTCTTTGCCTCTGGATTTATTTTGAACTTCAAAAGTTGAGAACTGGTTTTTAATACACTTTATTTTTTTAGGACACTTTCAGGTTTACAGCAGAATTGTGCAGAGTTCCAAACCCCCTATCTCTCTCTGTCTCACAGTTTTCCTTGTTATTAATGTCTTGCATTAGCTGGTATGAACGGATAACTCATTGTTACAATTGCTGAACCAACACGGATACATTATTATTAACTAAAATCCATGATTTACATGGTCTATGATGTTTTGGGCATTTCTGGAGGTTGTATACGTCTCTAGGTTTTAACAGATGCATAATGTCATAGATCCACCATTACAGTATGGTACAGAATAGTTTACCCTAAAAATGTCCTGTGATTGACCTCTTCGTCCCTCCCTTCCTCACCCTAATCCCTTGGCAACCACTCATCTTTCTACTGTCCCTGTAGTTTTGCCGTTTTCATCACATCATATAGATGGAATGATATAGTGTGCAGCCTTTTCCAGCTGGCTTCTTTCACTGAGCAATATGTGCTTAAGATTCCTCCATGTCTTGATAGATAATTTTTTTTTATGGGTGAATAATATTTCGGTGTGTGAATGTACCACAGTTGTTTTTTTTTTTTTTTTTATCATTAATCTTTTGAAAGACATCTTGATTGCTTCCAAGTTGAGGACATTATGAACAGACTGCTATTAACACCTGCATGCAGATTCCTGTGTGGACGTAAGTTTTCAATTCATTTGAGTAAATATAAAGCAGTGTTATTGCTGAATTGTACAATAGCAGTGTCTTTTAATTTTGAAAGGAACTGCCAAACTGTCTTCCAGAATGGCACTACCATTTTGCATTCCTATTAGCAATGAATGAAAGTTCCCATTGCTCCACGTGGAATGGATTTGGGGCAATTCTAATAGGTATATACCACTATGTCATTGTTTTATTTTGCAATTCCCTGATGACATGTTAAGTATCTTCATATGCTTATTTGCCATCTTTATATCTTCTTTGATGAGGTGCATCTTCAGGTCTTTTGCTCATTTTAAAATTAGATTGTCTGTTTTTTTATTGTTGAGTTTGAAGAGTCCTTTGGAAATTAGTCCTCTATCAGATATTTGTGTTGCAAAGATTTTCTCCCAGTCCAGGGCTTGTCTTTTCATTCTCTTAGCAGTGTCTTTTGTGGAGCAGAAGTTCTCCATTTTAACGAAGCTGACTTTTTTTTTTTTTCCTTGCATGGATCATGGAAAGCTATATATTTTTATCTTCTAAAAATTGTCTTTTTTTTTTTAATTTTATTTATTTGAGAGAGAGAATGAGATAGAGAGCACGAGAGGGGGGAGGGTCAGAGGGAGAAGCAGACTCCCTGCTGAGCAGGGAGCCCGATGCGGGACTAGATCCTGGGGCTCCAGGATCATGACCTGAGCCGAAGGCAGCCGCTTAACCAACTGAGCCACCCAGGCGCCCCACTAAAAATTGTCTTTATATCACTACTTACTTACTACTCTTCTATGCAATTGTGTGTCCACTTACCTACCTATCCTACTGTATGGAATATAGTCAGGAGCCCCTCGATTAGTTTTTGATAATACAAGTAGTTTAGCACTTTGTGAAAGCATTATCAATGGGGTCCTAGTAGGAGACAGGTGGCACATCGAGCTGTGAGTTTTAATGAGAGTCTTAATTAAGGAACTATTTTCAGAGGTGTGAGCAGATTAAAGGACCCCGCATGGAATGTTGCAACCCCCAGGAACAACAGCAGGAATCCCTGGGCCCAAGAGGCCAGGAGAGGAAAGTGTTGAGAGCTGGAGCCGTTGACAAGAAATTGTAATTGTAGAAAAACAGAAATTCTAATAAATCTGTTTAGAATCAGGGAGGGAGCAGAAGGAACACCTCCTCCTGATCTCCCATCTTCTACCACTAACTTCAGCCAGAAGCCGGAAGGCAAGAGAGCCAGCATGATAAAGTCTACAGAATCACCTTCTAGAGGAGAGCAGAAAGGAGCAGACAATGGACAGGGACAGAAAGGCAGGCAAAGAGATAGTAACTCACTTAGGCACTTTCTGTCAAATTAATTCGGAAGAAGAAGAGGTGTGGATACTGTTTTGACTAGCAGAAATACTCATACCACCTTGACCCTATTTTTTAGAATAGTGCTGATAAAAAATACCTTGATAATTTCATCCTGCCTCGATGTACCAGCCCCAGGTTCCCTCTGATTTCCCACTCAGGTACTTCTCCAACCAAACAAGCACACAAAGGCGGTATCTTACGTAATAACAAATGAACTAAAAAATTCAGAGGCTATAATAAGCAGCATATCTGCCAGCCTCAGTTTGGCTGATATACTATGGCCCAAGTCATCGTGATTGTTCTACAGGATGCACAGGACCAGGTATAGATGAAAGAGAGTGAAGGGTGGGGATCAAGGCAAATAAAGCTACAATCGGGCGCCTGGGTGGCTCAGTTGGTTGAGCGACTGCCTTCGGCTCGGGTCATGATCCTGGAGTCCCTGGATCGAGTCCCGTGTCGGGCTCCCTGCTCGGCAGGGAGTCTGCTTCTCCCTCCGACCCTCCCCCCTTTCATGCTCTCTCTCTCTCAGTCTCTCTCTCTCAAATAAATAAATAAATAAAATCTTTAAAAAAAAATAAAGCTACAATCAGGTGAATGCAGCTTGGATGGTCAGAAACAAATACCCAACTCAATTCATTTGGTGATGAATAAATTAAATTAAGTTAAATTAAATTATTGCCTATGTGGTAAGAATACTCTCAGGGAAAATAACTGATTTCTTTTACAAAAGTGCAAGAACAATTCAATAGAGAAAGGATACCCTTTCCAACAAATGGTGTGGGAGCCATTGGACATCCATAAGAAAAGAGAAGAGAGAGCTTTGACCTAAGTTTCACACTTTACACAAAAATTAGTTCAATATGGATCACAAACTTTAAATGTTAAACGGAAAACTATAAATCTTCTTTTAAGAAAAAACAGAGGAGAAAATTTTCAGGGACTAAGGTCTATAAAAAGTCTGTAGATGTGACACCAAAAGCACAGTCAATAAAAGAAAAAATTGAAAAACTGAACCACATTAAAATTTAAAGTGTTTGCTCTGAGAGAGATCTAGTAAGAGAGTAAAAAGCCAAGCTGCAAACTGAGAGGAAACCTTTGAAAACCATATACTTGACAAAGGAGTATATGAAGAATTCTCAAAACTCAACAATAAAAAATAAATAAAAAAATAAAAAATAAAGTGTCAAAATGCAGAATAGTGGCAATATCAAATGCTGGCAAGTTTGTGGAGAAACTAGATTGTTTATACATTTATTATAGAAAAGTGAAGTGATACAGCTACTCTGGAAACAGCTTGACAGTTTTCTTTGAAAACTCAACATGCAACTACCGTTTTTTTATTTTATTTTATTTTATTATTATTTTTTTAAAGATTTTATTTATTTATTTGAGACAGAGAGAATGAGAGAGAGAGAGCACGTGAGAGGGGGGATACCGTTTTTTTAAAAAAAGAAATTTTCATTGCTGTTATCATTTCATCTTCACACTGGTTTGTGAAACAGGAGAATGTTCGATTGTTACAATGCTGATGCAATAAATCCATTATTACTCAGACATGCTTTCAATTATCTGCACCCAGATGATAAAATGTAAGGAGTCCGTTTTCCAACTCTGTGAATATTTTTTTAATTTATTAATAATTTTAATATGCAAAATCTGTTTCATTGAATGACTATAATTTAGGATTCAAGCTCCTTTCCCTTGATACAGTTAAACCACTCCATTGCATACCCACCCACACACACACACACCCACACACACACACACAATCAGAGCAGAAGAACCAATGACGCACAATTGTCCTGAAGAATCATTTCATTTTCTCCTGCACAAACATCCTTCTCAGGTAATGTTACTAGAACAGCCTGTTTTTGTTTTTATTTATTTATTTATTTATTTTTATTTTTTTTTAAAGATTTTATTTATTTGCGAGAGAGAGAATGAGAGACAGAGAGCATGAGAGGGAGGAGGGTCAGAGGGAGAAGCAGACTCCCTGCCGAGCAGGGAGCCCGATGCGGGACTCGATCCCAGGACCCTGGGATCATGACCTGAGCCAAAGGCAGACGCTTAACGACTGAGCCACCCAGGCGCCCTGAGAACAGCCTGTTTATGAGGCTTTTATAGTCTGGGATAAATAATAGTTTTAAAAAAACTTCTATTTTATGGAGTTGTGATATAAAAATGATTTATAGGCTATATTTTTCAAAAAGCATTTAGCTAGACTGTAATCCTGCTGAGAAAACTTTCCTGTGTAAGTCTATGATATGGAATGAAAAGATATGATTAAAAGTCTTCTGATCAAGAAACTTGCAATCATCAAAGGAATGTTAGTCTCCACAGAGAGCCACCAGGATTTTTTCATAATCTCCCTTGGTTTCGTCCTGTTGGTTAAGAAATAGAGTATGCTTAATGCTACCTGAAACCATAATCAACATAAGGTATTTTTAATTATAGAAGAATTATGTATTTGTAGATTAACGGGTGTAGAACATATATCACAGTATGTAATATATGTTTTTTATAATAATCTTTTATAATAATATCATTTATTTAAATAATACAATTAATATAGCAGATAACTGATATTTGTTAATCGATTATTATATAAAAAGCAAGAGCTTTCAAGATTCAGATTATATTGATTATGTTATATATTAGAACTATTATTTTCCAAGAACTAAATGTCACACAGAATTGAGTGAACTTAACACAGTATGATTTCATATCATAGTGAGGGCTATCTGACTCACTCACCAGGGAGAAAGTGATAAGCCTGTGATTTTCTCACCTTTTCTTGGTAGATTTAGTTATCCAGTATAAGTGACAACTTAACTTGAATTAGTCATCTATCTTTCAGTCTTTCAATAAGTTTAAAACCCTTGTCTTTTTATTTTTAACATTATAATGAAAATTTAAGCATGCATGTTTTACATTTTACATATAACAAAATTAAGAAAGCTTAGAATAATAAGTTTCTAATCTCTGATCAATATTCATTGCAAAATAAATCACTATATATACTCCCTACTAAAATATTTTGGTTGCTAACTTTATGTATGGGAAACTAAATATTTCCATGGCTACTGAAAAATTTGTGTTGTTTTTCAGTAGAGAACTCACTAGTCCAGTGAAAGTTCAATTTACTTATAAATTACGTGTCCTAATATAACAAATTAATCTTACATCTAAAATCTACAGGTATATAAGTCAGATTTTCTCTTTGGAGAAGTTGCAAAAAGACTGCCATTTGTGGAGGTGGCATTATGAAAATCACAACATACCAGGATGGCTTGGCAGAGAGAGACACCATACAACTTCTGGTAGCATGCTTTGATGTCATTCATGTCAATTTCAGAACGGGAAACCATAATTCTGATCAATGTCTTATGACGAGTTCCAGAACCCTGTTTAAAGCAAATGATGGTAAATGTCATATTCAGAGCATACTCTTAATAAAGCAGGTATAGGTTTGAATGTGAAGCTCTTTTGTTCATTCATTAAAACACACACACATGCACTTGACACATGCACTTGACACAGGTGGAAATAAAATGGCAGGAACCCAACTGCTGCATCAGCTGTATGGAAGAGCTTTTACAAACTCCTCATTGGTCTTCCACCATCCAGTCTTTCCTAGGTCTAAACTATTCAAAAATTACAAAGAACGTGAACCTTCTAAATTGCAAATCTGATCACTGAATCCATCTATTTAAAACCCTCCATGGTCTTTGGTTGCTTTTAGGAAGAAAATGAATCATTTTATCAGGGTTTACAATGTCTGTCTAATTCCACACCCTCTTCTTCCACTCTGCACCATCCCTCTCATGACATTTATTATCTTGAAAGAGTCATGCTAACTCTTTCCCTGGACCAACTTTATCCCTCCAACTCTGCTCTCACCTGGCTAATTCCTCTTCAAATATCTTAGTCTTAGTTTAGCAGACCGCAAGTCTACATTGATTCCTCCTGCTCTTCTACCATACTAGGTATTCATCCTTACCCACCCAGATAATTACCCCCTAGATAGCCCCAAGCATGAAGTCTGGGACTCTACTGCCTACCACATGGTGGTGCAATGCCTATCATTTTATCATTTCAGAAGGACTCTTCCTATTAATTGAAGGGTTAGATCTCTCTCCCTCCCCCACCCTTTTCTCTTGAGACCTCCTTATTTTGGAGTTGCAAAGGAAAGAAAAATACAACCTAATAACTTTTCACAATACCTGTATACAGGCGGCATCCTGATGCATGCTAGAGAATAAAGTTCAAGTGAAGTGGCTAAAGTGGGATTGCAAATCTATCTCCATAACACCTTCCACTTCCGTATTAAAATGACATTTTAAAATCTTAGAATGAAATATGAATCCAGGGCATGGATGACAGAATAATAAAAAAGGCAAGTGAAACTTAGAAAGGAGGAAATTATAAAACCCACAACCTTAGCGGAAGTAGGTTACTAAAATCACGCATTAAAAGAAAAAGTACAGAACCTTTCTCTGCTGACTCAGGTTTTATGCAAACAATGAGTAAACCACAAATTACTGACAAGCTCACCTGACTACCTTACCTGTAAAAAAAACTACAACAAATCCGACAGAATTTTATTCCAATAAGTATGTGTATTGCCTCTTGCATTACATGGAACAGTGGTTCTTTTTAATGGGAAGATATGAAAATGAGTGTGCCTTGCAAACAATACGAAGTTTTCTGTTTTTCTCTCCACAAGCAATAATTTCACCCCTCAGCAAAGCATAAAAATAGAATGCTACCTTCATGGCCTGATGAAGCTTCTCGGCAAAGAACATCGGTTTGCTCGTGGCACACTTCACTGCAAGACAGGCACACGTTAGCGGACATATTTACCATACGAGAAGAAAGACGCATGTGAAAGTTTTACCAGAAAGACTCCTTTCTCCACTGCTGTTCCTCATCCCCCACTTAATAGGGGATATTTGGCCTATAAAAAGCTTTCTGTAGATGGTGGTCTTGAGGAATCTTTTCCCTAACAACATCACTATCTCCTCTGTCTTAAATCCACTCAACAGCAACTTCAGTTCATGGTATTCTAGAGTCTCCTCTTCTTGGAAATGGGGAAACTGGCAGGTGTTAAAGGTCATGTGGGCATACAGTAAATACTTTTCTTCGTGTCATAATAAGAATTTTTTTTTTCAAAGGAAATAGGACTTGCCTTCGATATAAGGCAACTGCCAGATAAAACACTAATAGACGCAGCCGTTAGTAATATTCTCTGCCTTGCTCCTCAAAGTGTGATTGATGGACCAAACGTATTGGCACAAACTTGGAGCTTGTTAGGAATGCAGAATCCAAAGGCCGCACTACAGACCTGCTGAATCAGAATCTGCATTTTCACGAGATTTCCAGGGGCTTTATGAGCACAGTCACTGCTTTAGAACATAGGTTCCCAGGTTCTTGGAATAGCATGGGAGACCTTTAAAGGCTTTTTCTTCTAAAGACCTTTCCAGAAGCCCCTGGAGACCTACTGAGCTAATTCCTCTGGACTTGTCTAAGATGACTCAATCAGCAAGTGACAGACCAGGATCTGACTCTGCATTTATTTATTTCCAAACCCCACGTTCTTAATGATCACTCTGACTTTCCCCCAAGCCATGCCCAGCCTGGTGCATCACTTGGCATAAGTAAATGCTCAGAAAGTATTTCCCATCTGTCCATCTTTTTGAAGAATTGTTATTTTATTATAATATTATAAATATCATACTGCATATTCAAATATGATATTAAACATATTATTTAATATAATATTTTAATGTAATTATTAAGATGGCCATTATATACCTTTAGCTAAATATTTATAGTCACTATCTTCCACGTTGCCTCTGTATAAAACATAAGTTTATTATATCTTAGTTTTTTGGGTCTTTTTCATTTTTATTTTATTTATTTATTTATTTTTAAGGAGGCTTCACACCCAGCATGGAGCCCAACCCAGGGCTTGAACTCACGACCCTGAGACTAAGACCTGAGGTGAGATCAAGAGTCAGAAGCTTATCCAACTGAGCCACCCAGGTGCCCCTGTTTTTTGTTGTTGCTGTTGTTTTTAACTGTGGGACAGCATCGACCGTTTCAAGTTAGAAAAGCCTTCCCCTTCCATGACTACATACCGATAGCCGTGAGGCACTTCTCAATGTCACCTTTCATTTCCAGGTCCAGAACTTTGTTCATGTCGTGCTTACTGTACTTGCTGTACTTCTGAAACACTGAACATTAAATTTAAACTAAGAGAGGTACAAAGCATCCTATTTAGCAAACTAGCAAAAGCAGGGGAACTGACGCAAAGCATTCTTTTGAATGACTGAATTTCAAAACACACATTTTAAAGCTAATTATTCAACTGGGCATATTTTGGATACTTCATCTTCTCCTAGGAATGTAACTCATGTGGCTATTTCAGTGCCCCTGTATATTTCGGGGAAGTTTTCACAAGTGTTGACATTTATTAGAACTGGCATGTGATTGACAGCCGTGACACTTACTACATCAGAGCTAAATGCCATACCGAATGGATCTTCCCTTATATAAAGATCTGTGGAGTAGAGGTCTCTTATTTTTATCCTTAAAAATCAGAAGGTGCTATTATAAGATAATGAACTTCAAGTAATCATTAGGACTTCCCCCTTTGCCTTGGCTTCCAAAAGGTTCAGAGCCAAATCTAGGGCTCAAAGGACAGAACTCTTGTTTCTTTTGGTTTGGGAGCATCTCTATGCTTTTTTTTTTTTTCCCACTTAGTCCTGAGTTTAATGTTTTTCTTCATTGTAATTTCATTCTGTTGTATGTGTATATTTTGTCACACCTATTCCAAATATCTTGGGGGAGTAGAAATCGTCAAGATAATTAAGTAGTGTTCTGCCTGCCGAAGTCACAAAGGGTATTTCAAATATGATAAAATGGTGGCTGTACAAAGTTGGACAAATGCACAAATAGCAGTAAAGGGTCAGGAGCACTATATTCACTTGGTATGAGAGTGACACTGATTAAGGCTTCTCTCTTTCCTTTCTTTTATTTGTCCTCAAAAAAAGTGCGTCTACTATAAACAGTTTTCAGGAATTTTTTTTTCTTACCTTGGCGAAGATGGGGGTAGGTTCTGGTGGTAAGGATGGTAATGAACACATTCACATCTGTCCCCCTTCTCCTTTCTCCTGCTTCATATAAAGCCTATCAAGAAACACAAACATAGGGGCGCCTGGGTGGCTGAGTGTCTGCCTTCGGCTCAGGTCATGAATCCAGGGTCCTGGGATGGAGCCCTGCATCAATCCCCGCTGCTCACTGAGCCCCCTGCTTCTCCCTCTCCCTCTGCCAGTCCCCCTGCTTGTGCTATCTTCTCTCTCAAATAAATAGATAAATGAAACCTTTGAAAAAAAGAAACATAAACATTTGACTATCTGCTGACTTGTTACTTGCACAAGAATGTTAGATCTCTTCAAAGATTTTCTAGGCATCTGCTTTGTGTCCAATTCAATCATAGTAGGCAAAGCTAAGAATGCAGGTTCCTTAAAGATAGGGACCTTAGTTTGTCAAGTATCTTCCACAGTATGTCTCAAGGCACCTTGCAAATAGTAAACTGAATATATTTTTGCAGAGTAAATATTTGCTGGATTAAATTGCTTTCAGATTATGCTCTATATCAAGGCAACTTCATGGAACTCTCTAAAAACTTTTTTTTTACTCTTAATTGTTCAAAGTAACTATCAGCAAGTGGTACTAATACATCGATAATACAAACATAAACTAGATCTTGAATTTTGATATTAAAATTTCTGGATTCAGAATTCTGACTCTGCAACTTAGCTGCTCTATACTCTTAGATAAACAATTTAACCTTATGAAACTGCCAACTTTCCTCTTTTGTAACTAGAAAAGGTAATCCTTGCCTTATTATCACAAGCATGCTCTGTTAACTTTGAAATGTTAATTGCCATCATCCTCCTGGGCCACACTAATCCATGTAGCTGCCATAAATATACATCTGACAGCCCTGATAGTCTTTTTTTTTTTTTTTTTTTTTTTTAAGATTTTATTTATTTATTTGACAGAGAGAGAGATAGCGAGAGCAGGAACAGAAGCAGGGGGAGTGGGAGAGGGAGAAGCAGGCTTCCCGTGGAGCAGGGAGCCCGATGTGGGACTCGATCCCAGGACCCTGGGACCATGACCTGAGCCGAAGGCAGACGCTTAACGACTGAGCCACCCAGGCGCCCAGCCCTGATAGTCTTAAAATAGAAAGCAAATTCAGAAATGTCACAAGCAAATAAGAATCATTTTTTATTATGGGCAATTAGTCAAATACTAACTTTTTTTTTATATGCTTGCACAATTTCTATTAAAATGGCCAAACTTCTGATGGACATAAGTTATTTTGGACTTTTCAAGCAAACATCTGGTGTATATGCCTTTTTTCAACAAAAAGTTAATGAGTACCTTTTATGTGAAAGATAATGCACTGGTATTATGAAGGGAGTGGGTATGGACACATAAGCTTCTCTCCTATTAACTCACTGTGATGAATTTATAGACGTAATACTATCCTGTGAGGGGAGTGGGTATTGACACATAAGTTTCTCTCCTATTAACTCACTGTGATGAATTTATAGATGTAATACTATCCCGTGAGGAAAGCATATGCAAATAATAGTCAGTTTTTTTTTTTTTTTTTTTAACAAATTCCAGGCCCTAAAATGGCACAATTTTTCTAATGTTGCCAAGGGACTGGTGTATAAATAACCAACAACCTCACTGAAACTATGTGTGTCAATATACTTGAAAGTATATAAAAACGTTATTATAATTATAAAAATTATAATATAATATTATAAAAATTATAATAACGTTTTTATATACTTTCAAGTATATTGACACACATTACTATAATGTCTTTACAATATAAACTTACAGCTATAAACCATTCCATTGTTCACTGTTAAACGAATGTTTGATGCGCTTACTCTTTCCACTTAACTTAAAAAATTATTTTTCCCTTTCTTATACATAATAAGATAAAAATTCAGAGTTTTCTCAACAAAACAATTCTTAAGAATGACAAATCAAATTCTCATTCTTTTCTTTCCATCCTTTCCCACTTTGTAAATAATGAAATCTTTTAAAAACATAAAGACCACGTTTTTCTCTCTTGAGCTATTCAAGTACAGGACGGGTGTGCATCATTCAGGGAATGAACGTTAGGGGCCATTGGTCTCTCAGAGGATCTTAGATTTGCTTTCACATAAAGGCATCAAGTGGTAACCCCACCTAACACAGGACCTATCTCACATAGGAAAGTCAACTCCAGGAGTATTTGCTTACCCTAGCATCTGAATCAGCCAAGTCGTCATTCAAGCCAAAATCCTCAGATCGGTCACCCTGAAAAAAATCCCATTCTGTGGTAAGTTGTTTTCTAGCATGTAATCACATGATTTGCTTAATTCCCTTAAAATCAGATAAATAATACTTTTTTGAGAAAAAGAGAATCAAGTGCTTATTTCAAGAGAGAGGGAATCTCATTTTACTCTTCATAAAGGACGAGGTATGTCCTGAACTAGATGAGGTATACCTTAGCCAGGGAAAGCAGAGCGTTCCGATAATCTCCAGATGTGTCTGAGGTGATATCTTTAGCTAGATCTCTCTTCAGTTCTGAGAAACGAGAAAAGTGTATTTTACAGTAAACTGGTGATAAATGGGCACCCTAGCAACTGGAGTGCTGTCTGGTAATACCATGCATGCACCAGACACGTGCCAAACAATGAAGAAATATTTTACTATGCAGACTTTCCAAAGCCCCGTCATTAACATCAACATTCAGTTTTAAGAAATGCGTATTAGATGTAGTTTCCAACTAAGGTAACTTGGACTGTTGGGTATTAAAACGTACCCTCTCTGTAGACTCTGTTAATTTCTCTGATTTCTTTGTTAGTTCTCGATACCAAAATTTCATCCAGAGTGTCTTCATCAGTTCCAAGGCCCTGAATTAAAAAATAAATATAAGAAGAACTTTGTTCAAGAGCGTCTGCTAGTTTTTGGGTCCCAGAATTCATTTGAATCTAGCATTTAGTAAATTTCCCACAGTATTTAGTAAATATCCACAATATTTAATAATTACAATAAACTCTATTATATTGCTCTAAAAACAAAATGGGTTTAAAGCCATTATTTTGCACAAAGATATAAAAAGTGAGGTATAGGATACATGCAGTGACAGATAATATGAGGAGAATGGAAATAATACAGCTGCTAACATCAACATTTCATTCATTCATTCATTCATTCATTCATTTATTTTATGCCTGCTGATTGGCATACTAGGTGTGAGGATATAACAAGACGCATAAGCAGACTTGACCTATACAGTCTGTGGAGGAAAGGAATTCTGCTTAAATCAGGTTACTTACCTTCATGGCAGCACGAAGTTCATCAGCATCAAACTGGGCTGGAGTTTTTAATAGAGCCAAAACCACCTCCTCGAGGTGACCAGAAAGGGCTTTCTTCAGAGCTTCATCCAGGGGCTATAACGAAGAGATGAGAGTCAGGGCTTCTAGTAAGTAACATGCTGGGCAATATAGCAATGTGGGGTTACCTAACCTTTAGGTAATCTTACTACTGATTTTTAAATCCAGCCATCTTTTAGAGCTCCTTTCATTCAGATACAAAATACGAGATTTAGAATGTTACCTTCATTTTTTAGATACAGAGTGATTACAATGCAATGTACTGCATTCATTGATAACTTCTGAAAGGATTTCTTTAAGGGTTCTCTTGATCTTTTACAGGGGGAGGAAATCACAAAGCTCAAAACATAGGGGTTTGTATATGGATAGAAACAGAAATTAGAATGCTTTAAAAATAATGCATTAATAATTTTTCAGCCTTTGGAGTTTGCAGTGCTCAAATAAGCACCGTAATCAGACATTGGCATTAGATCATTTTCTAACTGCACGCCGTAAGAAAATTACCCATTTTGGGCATAAAAAATACAAAGCTTACTTTTAAAGTTGAATTGTATGTATAAACTTTACATTTAGACATGAAATTGCTGTTTACATTTCAGCAGAAGACACGTGTCCATCAGAACATAGTCCTTATTGCCAACAGTACCCTTGATATTCGTTATATTCAAATTAAAGACTGGTCTCCATTAGAGAAGTCATCTGCAAAGAACCAAGACAGCTAATGTCTGAAACCAGAAATTTGCTAGTATCGATTACAGTGCAACCAAGTGGATGAACACTGTAATCCTAGTCTTAGTTGCAAAGGGAACACAGGGTTAGAGGCTGAAAAAACTAGGTAACTGTGCCTCAAAATCTGTGTTTAGACGTAAGTGTAATTGAAATTGAATATCTAGGGACGCCTGGGTGGCTCAGTCGGTTAGGCGGCTGCCTTCAGCCCAGGTCGTGATCCCAGGGTCCTGGGATCGAGTCCCACATCGGGCTCCCTGCTCGGCGGGGAGTCTGCTTCTCCCTCTCTCTCCCTCTGCTTGTGCTCTCTCTGTCAAATAAATAAAATCTTAAAAAAAAAAAAAAAAAGATTGAAATTGAATATCTAAATTTCCCACTCCAACCTACCTTCCCTTTTTCCTGGAGATAGGCCGCTTTGATCTGCTGACGCTGTGCATTGTTCCTCTTAGTTAGAATGTCAATGATGGTTGCTTCATCCACACCTGGAAATAAAAGGCCACGAGGCTTTAAAATCAATTTTCTTCATCATCAGTAATGGACATAAAATAATTAATTACCAAGATGTCCCAAATGAAGTTCTAGGGAACTAAGAAATATAAAATGACAGGAGCCTAGGACATGGAGGCGACATTAAAGGGAAGCACTTCAGATGGCACTCTGTCCATTTGAAGGAGAAAGAAAGGGGAAATTGTTCCCGGCCCTCTCTGCTGCAGTGTTTGATCCTGACTGAAACCCTAAATGTGAGCAGAGGTGTTGATTTCAGCATTGAGTTTCTGCTAGAAATGAGCCGGTAAAAATATCAGTCGTCTCAACAAAGATTCTGCTGGTTTGCCCAAAATTTCCTAAGTGTTGAGAAAGGAAATATATCTTTGTTTGATAAAGAAATCTTTTTTGTCTTCAAAAGGAAACAGACTTTTTCCACCGCATATGTCCCTTTTTTGACAGCCATTCAAATGGCCATTGTGAAATGTCCCGGAGGGTTCTGTTTTGGGAAGACGTAATTACCTTTAACTGTTATAGCGTTATGCAAGGCAGCAACATCCGAGGATGGATTGAAGCTAGGATAGGGGCTCACTGCTGACCCAGGACCGCCTTTGGATCCTTTCACAGTTTTCTGTGGTTAAGAGAGAAATAGAGTCATGTCCACTCACTCTCATTAGTTTTCCACTATTTAACTAAGTTATTGTATGGTCACTTGACTTACAATGTATTCCTGCTCTTCATTTTCAATAAACCAGGCCTGTTTGAGGAATTCTGATACCATTGCCATTTTTAAAGAAGTATCTGGAAAGAAAACAGGTAGATGCCATTACAAAACACAAACCTACCACACATTTATATCACTCTACTCTCTCGCATACGCAAGACACAGAGTAGCCTTGACCTTACTTGTGGATTAATTTCAGGAGCATAACAAAATGCTAGATGTAAGCTTTTTACAAGGAGAGTCTTACCCTTGAACAGAAACCCATAGCCTCCACTCAGACACTTGGCTCGTTCTTGGCATATTCAGTCCTAACCTTTAGGGGTCAGATGATTCTACAAGTAAGCATATAGGCTGAAGAGAGGGGTTGGTGATTTATTTTACTGATCTAAATTTATACGCCATTCACCATATGCCAGGCACCGAGGGTTCAGAAAATATTGAAACATCATCCGTGCCTCAGCTAGTGTGTGCTTCCTGTGGGAAAAGACGAAAGCTAAGGGGTCGTGCTGGCTGATCTGAGCCTCTCTTGAAATGAGTCAAGATTAACCTGACAAAAAAGTTAAAGAGAACAAAACAGAGAGAAGGTTGTCATATTTGGGACACGGAAGGAAGTCTACTGAAGCAAAAAATGTTGACAGAAGCCCAATCAAAGAAGTCTAAATGTATCTCCAAAGCTTTAGGAAAACATGAATGGATTTCTAAAAAGAGAGCAGCATGATTCCTTTTATATTTCAGAAAGATCACTCATCCTATATCATAGAGAATGGCTAAGAGATGGGCAAGATGAAAGATTAGAGACTGCTTAGTAGGCCTTTAGAGAATCTGCGTAGGATTGGTGAGGGCTTAGAGAAAAGTAATGGCTAGAGAAACAGCATAAAGTTTTACATTTATAAGGTAAAACCATCTGTGGCAGTCTGCTGTCTGTCTCAAAATTCAGATTCAGACTCAAAACGCTAAAGAAGTTTGATAACGATTCAGAAATACCATCTGAATATGGTATTTCTCCCTCAAATAATTCAGTGTCTTTTTCCATTCCTTAGTATAAAATTATTTCAGCATGTGGAGTAATTGCTATACTCACATTTCTTCCTAGTTGAGCCATCCTAAATACTAGTCCTGCGTGTTCTTCCACCCAACACAAAAAACCCAGATTTTCTAAAGGGTTCTTTGTTCTGACAGGAAGCATCAGGGTGGAATTGCAACATAAGTGCCCCTTTTGGCAAATCCTATCTTGAAATTTTTTGAATTGCTATCATGGTTCAGCAGTATTTTTATTTGATCAACCATGTATATTTTTAAAACCTGAAGCACGTTTAAAACCTCATGCGTTCCCTGTTTTGTCCACAAAAGAAGCTATCAGCGATCCTTTTTGTCTGGGGATTTGTTTTTAGGAGTCCATACTCAAGGTCAATGTAGCTCTCCATACCCTTCGTTTATCCCTCTGGAGACTATGACCGTGAATACATCTGAAAGAGTTTGGAAGGGTAATCTCAGTAGTTTTAAATTCTTGATACGAAGCTAAATGAATCATGAGGAGTAAAACCCATAACCTGATTCTTCAACAGCATGTTCAGACAAAGTATTTCAGCCACACCTGCTGAAAAATAACCTCAGTTTCGAGTAATGAGATTAAATACGTGAGGGAAATCATATCTAGAGCAGAAACTATCTCCACTTAATTATCATGGGGATTGTTCAAATTACTATTCTGTCATCTGTGAGAAGAACCATTATATTGTGCATTCATTTAAAGTAATCTCTTCCCCACCCCCCAGCAAGTGATAAATTTGAAGTTATTTCCTGCGGTAAAGTCATGATGTACAATTCTGCACGAGGTTTTAGTTCCCATTACAGTCGTAATCTGGTGCAATTGCTGTTAGCATGGGGAGTTTCATTTTCCAATTATTTAATTGGCGTATCCAGAGCTTCTAGCAATTTCTGGCAGGGTTTCAGGTATTTGAAATTTCCATTTTTATAATCTCATCTATGCCCTTCATAAAGTAGAAGCCTCAAAATGACTGATGTGATTGGTCACTTAGCGAAGTACTTTTCCATCAGTGAAAGAGGCATTCCAGTATTTCCACTCTTTTGAGTTGGAAACAAAACAAAACAAAAAAACTTCAAGAGAGACCAGAGACTAAGGATATTGTCAAACAGTTTTAAAAATGAATCTCACAACTTCAAAATAAATTTTATGAAAACTTTACTGTGCTTCATTTTTTCACTTCTAAAAAATGCTCACATAATGCATCAATTTCTTTACATAACACAAAACAACAAAAATAAGGGGGTTGAATAATTTATGTGACACAACAGAGTCTATAGAGGAGACAGCTTTGGAACATATCTTCTGAGTTTTTAGATCTTATAGTCTGAAATAATTTGGATGTTCTAAAAGCACAGTCTGGAAAAGAAAATTAGTCTGAATAGACTATCTCAGAAAAGCAATGAGAGGAAAATAGAATCTCAGTCCAGCCAAATAATATCTACTAGCTCTTAGCTTCAAGACACAGGGATAGTGGCAGGATATAAGAAATTGCCCTGAAGCAAAGAGATTTTATCAGGTACTAATAGTTAATTGTTTAATGTCAACTGCATATATTAGTAGAAATCTTTAACAGTAGCAACATACCTTACAAATACCACAGCTAAAGTACTTTGGCCAAAACAAAGGGGGGGAGTGGGGCACCTGGGTGGCTTAATCGGTTAAGCCTCCAACTCTTGATTTCTGCTCCTGTGGTGATTTCAGGATCAGATCGAGCCCCCATCAGGCTTCACGCCCAATGTGGATTCTCTCTCTCTCTCTCCCCGCCTCTGTCCCTCCGCCATACACTTCTATCCTTCTGTCCATCCCCCCCCACACCCACAGTGCACACACTCTCGCTCTTCTCAAAAAAAAAAAAAAAAAAAAAATTTTTTTTTTTCTTTTTTTGGCCAAATTGAATTGCTAAACCATTCTGTCTCTTCAGTAATTACCCTCTGCATGAAAACTAGCATTTTGTACTTGATAAAACCTATTCAATAATTGGAAGGTAACACTTGGCTTAATTATAGATAAATAATGCATATAAAGATATTCTATAGACTGCTACATGTTATACAAATGTCAGATACTATTATTCTTCAGAGAATAATTTGGTCTAGAAAATAGAATTGTACAGTTAAAAAAAAATAAAGTAGGTAACCCTATGAATTTACAAAAGATTTTCTTTTTTCTGGTTTTTTTTTTTTTAGTTGCAACATTTATAGTAGGTACTTAAGAGTTTATTTTATTAATATACCTTGGCTCACTATATATCTAATCTGGCTGCTAATGAGCTCTGAAACCAAGTTTATCTCAGTTCGTAACATCATCTAATTTGAAGATGAAATTGGTCATTTATGGGTTGACCTATATGGAAATTAAGAATATTTCAGAGTTTCATCTAATAAATGATCTGTTTGTGAACATGCACTGCCAACCAATCTCATTTATCCGTGCATAAATATGTAACTTTCTAGAGATGGGTATTTTTTTGTATATTGTGTTTCAGAAGAGAGCTTTCTTCATCTCAGTCAGCAAGGAATTAAAGAGGGCAAATACGCATAAAAAGTATGCCCAGGATGTTAAGTACAATGCAGGAGCCATGCTTGCTGAACTATAAGATAAAGGTATTCCAGAAATGGTACATTAGTAATTGCACCAGCTCAAAATTTGAGAAACTAAGGCTTGTATCAAAGTTAGTTTCCTGATTTTTCAAAAACTGCACTATTGTTGTGTCCTTGTTTTTTAATATATACAGACAGAAGTAAGCTAGAGGCATAGGGACATCATATCTGTGGTGTTCCCTCAAATGTTCCAGAAAAAATATAGTGAGAGGGTGGAAGGGGTAAGAGGACAAAACAAATGTGGCATATGAGCAATTGGGGGATCTGGGTATAAAGGATATGGTAATTCTGTGCAATATTCTCGCAACTCTTCTGAAGGATTGAAATTATTACAAAAGTTGGTTGTTGTTTTGTTGTTGTTCATCACAATTTCTATCTCTTGGCCTCATGAAAGACTACTTCTAAGATCTGTGACAGAAGCTGAGTTTTGTGGTGTCTCATGCCTTCCTAGAATGATCTAGAATGATCAATTATACAGTGACACCAGCAGCAGCCAGTCCTTGCAAAGGACAACACCCTTATTCCCATTCTCTACCTGGGAAGAACAGTGTGACTTCCTGGCCGTGTTGTAGACAGAAGTGGCAAGCATCAAGTCATACATAAATCCATGCCTTCCGATTGCATATTCTTTTAAACTAATGACCAAAAGACAGTGAGTGGCAGGGGTGTTATTTTTAATAGCTCACACTTGAGAATCAAATTCATTAACAGTGAACCCATGGAGACTGGGGCAAGGTTTGCCCAAGTCCTCGGGTGTTTCTTTTTCAGTGATTTAGCTTGTGCTCTCTTTTCCCTTGGATATCTATTTCACAAGTCCTTCCCACACCTACCCGTGTGAGAGAAGGCAATTAGACTATACAATGGCATGACTTACGAAGAACCACCTTATGAAAGGTAGTCTCATGAATGTTTTGCTTCTGGGTTTTTGGACAGGGTGTTTCCTTTGCCTGGAATGCTGTTTCTTCCTCCATATTATTCACTCTCCTATGCCAAACTGTTGCTTCTAAAAGGACTCAGCATAGACCTCTTCATATCCTCTAGAAAACTTTCATTATTGGTTCAACACTCGGCTGGGTGCTCTCCCAAGGCATCCTCCTTTTCCCCTACGCTAGGCCCTACCATTCTGGATCATCACTTTCTGTTGACCTGTCTATATTCCCTGGCAGCATTACCCGGAGAACAGTGCTAGTCCCCGTTCCTTACGTACCTCCAGTCCCTAGTATTTGCTATGGTAATAAGCGTTATTGAATGGCTAAACAGTGTATCAGTGCTAATTACTTGGGAAACATATCTATACACTTAACGAATATTTCCCCCTAACTATAAGATGTAAAAATAAGAATTGAGGAGTGCTGAGGCCTATTTTGATTCTCTTTAACTGACCGTATGGCCTCCAGAAAACATTTAACTTCTCCAGGGGTCTTCGTTTGTAAAAACAAGCATGTTGGAATAAACAGTATCTAAAATGCATGAGAGTTCTGAAATGCCTGTCTCAAACTTCACCTCACGTGGATGGAGGTGGAGAAAATTAGCATAATTAAGGAAGATATTATATATATTTTATCTGTTCTGATCTTCCTGATAAAATTTTATCCTGTGTTAAGGAAAAATGAACTCATTTACTCCAGAAAACACTTTGTGTTTATCACTGAAAAATAATAGATCCATTGGTTTAGCTATTTAGCTCTGATTTTAAATACCACTCTAGGGTATTTAAATACCACTCTAGGGAAGATGAAGAACAACCAACTCAGCAAACTAACATCATACACAGAAATGAACCTTTGCAGATCTTTTGATCGAGAAAGCACTTAATAAGCATGAAACTCTTGAATAATGTTATTATGAACTGTTTTGTCCACACCAATCTGATGTTGGCTAGCTGCCTCATGTGGTTGTGGTAACACAACTTCTGGAGAGGAGACCATTTCAGCATTATGAAACCAGCCCTTTACCACATTTGCATCATTTTACGATGTGCCTTCTCTTCCAGCTACCAAAATACATTCCCGGGTGCAGAGGGCAATGTTACTTTTTCAAAGTCCACGTGTAATTTTAGACACAAACAGAGCAAGAAAAAGTACACCTTTCTTCATCAAGCTAGCATTAAAAGTGAGACATCAGGACATTTAATTTAACATTCAAAATGGGCTAAGAGAAAAATTCTTGCTATGAACAATAGCCGGATATATTATGATTCACATTCTCTCACTTTTGCAAATATATCCAACACCAGTAAAAACTCTGCTTTAGATTTGCTTTGTGCTTTTCTAAGGAATTTTATGGCCATTAGTTCTCATTCACAATCTAGATGCTACTAAGTAGAATAATTTTGGGAGGACCCAACTGGCATCCACAAGAACTCATCGGGCACCACCCAGAAAATATTTCCCTTCCCCTTAAGTTTTCAAAGCAGCACTGGAAAAGCCTGCCTATGACACAGACCACAGGAATAAGAATGTGGCCACACCCTCTTTAAATGAAATGATTAATAAGCGGATCCTCTTATTTATTTATGCTTCATGAATAAACATAACGTAATTTCAGTTGTTAATTACAAAGGGCATGATTATCACTATGATGTCTGAATCTATTTGATTTTTACCAAAAAAGAAAATAAAATAGTCCTATTTTGAAACAGTTTCCTGAAACCCACCTCTGCCACCTCTGTTCTTCTGTGCTAGCTGGCCACAAGTATCCACCCTCCATCATGATTTCCATGTAAGACACACAGAGCTCTTGGAAATGTCTGACTCGGTAGGAGGAAAGCACATTCTTTCCTTTTTTTTTCCATGGTAACTCACCAACAGTACAATAAGCCAGTATTAAGCAAACGGTCCATATGTGTAAAACTCTATTTCTTAAGTAAAATAAAACATTACGATTTTGTGGTTTCCAAACTATAAATACCCAATGTGATTTTACAGAAAGATTTATCAAAACATGAAATGCAGCCCCCCATAAACCCTGGAGAAGCAGTAACATGTAACATCAGGATGGGAAAAGTTTTGCAAACAATCAAAACTAACTAAAAAGAAAACTAAGACTTACCCTTTTTCCCCCTTCCAAGCACTCAAGAGAGGTTCTCTTCTGAACGTTTCCCACTAGAAGTGAAGCATTGTGCTTCTGATTTTATAGTTTGAAAGGGGGCCACACCTAGCAACCAGAAGTTAGTAATTGGCTGCCCTTTGTTTGAAATACCTGGCTCAGCCTTGTCCGAAACAAAGTGAAACAAGTCTTGCAAAACTACTCACTAAATCAAGTCCTAGCTGACAGCACAAAGGGGGAAAAAAAAAACCCGGAAGGACAGACTTTTTTTTTTTCTTTTTTCTCTTTAGTTTGCATTGCTTTTTCCAGAAAAAGTAAAATGCAAAAGATTTTCAAGTATGCAGTACTGTTTACCCCATTGCTGCTACAATGATTAACACCCTTCTTTAAACAGATTGTAAAATGAAAAATGTATAAACTTCAAAATAAACCCAAGAAAACCCTTTCAGTTTGAATCCAAGCTCCGTCACCTATTACTGTGTGACTTTGGGGACATATTTAATTTCCCTGAACCTGTTTCTACTTTTGTAAAATAGGATAATAAAATCCAAGCTGTCTATAAACACTAGAATTCTTGTGACAATTGAGAAATAGTGTATTTTTGTAAATTTTAACATCATGCAGTTCTGATTAAGTTTTATTTATATTTTACCAGCATTTCTCCTGCCTTAAAATAAAAGACTTCTTGGGGCACCCGGGTGGCTCAGTTGGTTGAGCCTCCGACTCTTGATCTCAGCTCAGGTCCTTGATCTCAGGATTGTGAGTTCAAGCTCTGCACTGGGCTCCTCAATGGGCATGGAGCCTACTTAAAAAAATAAAATAAATAAAATAATAAAATAAGATAAAATAAAAAATAAAAAAATAAAATAAAATATAAAATAATAAAATAAAAAATACTTCTTGTGCCTGCATATAGCTTGTGGATATAAATAAGAAATGTAAAAGAAATAAAGCTCCAGATCGTCCCCAAATTGTAAACGAAGTCAATGCTAGAAATATGATTATTATGACGTTCAAAAAAGGCATTGGCATTCGAAGAAAGCCTATTTACAGTAATTCCTTTATATAGAATCAGTTTTACAGATAGAGATGGATAAATCCTTGACATTCTAGAGTAGTTGAACAATAAACCAAACCAATAGAACTGTAACGTGAAAGGATGAGTGAAGCTATTAAAAAACAGGTACCTTAAGGAATTTCCTACTTAACATGAGGAACGGAAATTTGTTTTGGTAGCCTCGATGGTAATTAAATTTTGTTCTTCACAAAATTTTACAAAAATTTATATGATATTTCAATTAAACTATGCAGAGGTATAAACTCTTTCATAGTGTGTGTGTCAATTTACGGGACATTTTAGTGCTTTGTTCTTTTGCTTCTTTTCCTTGTAGATATTTCAGGTAATTATATATATATTATTATATATATGTATGTCAGCTTTACAAAAATCAATGAAAATGCTTTCTTAAGATTGTCAGTTTTTATAACACATTCTATAAATTCTCAGTGCTAATTTCAATGAAGTCAACATATCCCCTGACGTAGGATGATCAGCTAATCTAAATATTTGAGAAAATGCCAATCTATACATTTGGCACTCACCATTAAGTATGTGTTGAACGAATTAATTAGCTACTAACTAATTAATTGTTTCATATTATTGTATTACATTTTGACAGATATAGATGAGCTTTCTAATACTGCATTTATTTTGTCAGGTGCAAAGGGAAAAGATAATGAACAAAATTTGTTTCTCTGTGTATATTTGTAGTCCTAACTCTGGTAATGGAAAAGTTGGAATCTTTCTTCACAGAGACACTCTTGTGAAATGAAGAAGAAAGTCCATGTACCTTTTATAAAATATAACAATGTAAAAGGAACGTATAGGTTCATTTTATTTTGGTTTTGTGGTTACCAGTAGCATAAGTCCAGAGGAATTGCTGTATCTACTCGGATTTGTAAGGCGCTGGCTAACCTTTATAGCAACAATAAATGTGGTCCTTGTGGAAGAACTGAGGAAAAAAGTTAGCAGAAAATTTTTTTTTCAGAATTAACTTTCAGCTATAACTCTCAAAGCAAATGAAACCCCCAAATATAAAAAGTAAAGAAACTCACTAATCATATAGGAATATTGATGTGAATAATCTGTTGGAAACTTTCTGCACCCCCCCCAACCAAGTGGATTTGTGGAAATAAAAGAAAGCATAGCATATGTTATCATTAACAGCTGAGGGATAATCAAGAGTTAAATGTTTTATGTATTTGAAATGCCACATACTGCAGCCTTGGAGACATGACTCACTACTCTTGCGGCTTCTAGAAGATAATGAGTCATCAGCTCCAGTTACTTTACGGAGAGAGAGAACAAAAAGTAAAGGAAGAGAAGAAAAGAGAAAAAAGATCGTTAAAAGCAACCACTATGTGTTATATTTTTGACAGCATATTTATTTCTACTCCTTTAGTGTAGGCCTGATAGTGAAGAGGAAGCAAAGCAATGAGACAACATACAGTGTCTCTCACACACATTATGTGTTCACAGAGCAAAAGTACGTGCCTAAGACTCCAGCAAAAGATCTGATTTACTAAGGGATTTCCCCACAGCCCTTTAAAAAATCAATGAAAAGACTTTCTTAAGATTGTCAGTTTTTATAACACATTCTATAAATTCTCAATGCTAATTTCAATGAAGTCAGCATATCCTGACGTAGGATGATCAGCTAATCTAAATATTAGATTATGCTGATCTGTCTTAAGCATTACTCTTCATATGGAGAAAGAGGGATATTCAGAATCACCAAGAACAGCATTTCACTGAAATCCCAAACTTTCTCCACACCCAAACTTCCTCACATGCGCTATCCACAGGCCATGGAAACATTGCCTTAGTTGGCATTTAAAATGTGTTCACAGGTTAAAACACTTTGAGAAATAGTGTTCTAAATGGTTTTCCCTTTACCTCTAGATATGTCAGTAGTCAAATAATTATCACATGTGCGTGCGTGCGCATGCACACACACACACTGAGTTACTGAGATGATGATGATGATTAATACTCAGTTATTCCCAACATCACATGCAATAGAAAAAAACTATATATATATATTTTTTTTTTTTAAATTTTACCTGCTCAAGTTAATGAGGTAGTCAAATGGATAGTTAAAGTTCAAATAAGTGCATCTTCATTGGACCTCACTTGAGGAAAAATAGACAAAACTATCTGTATAGAACAAGTGGAGGGAACTTTGTTTCCTTAACACATCACTGTAGGGAGGTGATTGACTGAGAATGTGATGGATTAATATTTGATAAGTTATCTTGCTCCCTTGCTATGGATTCAACAAGAAAAAATGAAAAGAATCACCCTGCCCTCCCCCTGCAAAGTAAACCATGATTGGAATTCCTGAGATTGGAATTTCCTCGTCCCCGTGGACTTTGGAAAGAAAAAAGAAGTTTCTCATTAGGTCAGGTCCCAGCAAGACAACTTTTTGGAGTTTTGAATATCCAGACCCATCTGTAGCAGTGTGTTTCAGTGTTTAGGTCAAAATCATTAGTAGAGTATGAATTCAATTTACTATGTACTGACCAACATTTAAAAAAAAAAAGAGAGAATAAAATAAAAAGGAAAATCATGGAAACTACCAGAGTGTTTCACATATTATAAAGTAAATATTATTTTATGAAATCTTGGCTTATAGTGATATGTGTATATACTTATGAGCGCCTGGTATAAAGATACGAACGTATTCCAACTGAATGTTGTGTTTAAAAAAGCTTGAAAAAGATTGAAGATGAGGAGTAAAGTACATGTACCCAAGAAAAGTAGAAAATGTTGTGTCTTCCTAGTTGTATAATCCAGAGAATACAATTATATCATAAGGAGTCATATATACATATGAAGATTGAAATATTGTTTGTATTATCCCCAAAAATGAAAACAACCCAGTTATCTATCAGTAGAGGAATGGATTTAAAAAATGACATAATATGAACAAACTAGATTCATAAACTTGAATCTATGCTGAAAATGTAATGGTAATCAAAAAGAGCAGTATCAAAGGATGATACCTCTGAAGAAAAACATTTAAACATCAAAACAATAGTATATATTTTAGAAATGTTCACATATGAAATATTACACAGTATGATTGAGAAGGATGATTACAGACTCTGGGTAAAGGTTAACCCTGAGGAGAAAGGGTTTTGCACCATACCTAAAGCTCTCTTTTTTTTTTTTTGTAAAACATTCTAAAATAAGTAGCATTTGTTAAACTTAAATGTTGGATACAAAGGTGGTTATTAGGGCCTTCTTTGTTACTTTCTATATGTTTAAAAATTTTTAAATTGTATGTTTAAAGGAATCAGACGTTGTGTCTTGAGTTTTTCATCCAATATCATATTTATGAGATTCATCCATATTATCACATATATTGTTATTGTATATATAAATTCTTTTCATTATTCTCATTGTCCTATGGTATTCCATTGTATAAATATATCACAATTTTTTATGCATTTTTTTTTCTACTCAAATATTGGATGTTTCTAATTTCTGGCTCCTACAAACTATGAGGCTGTGAAAATTTTATATGCATCTTCCGATACTTTTGCTAGTTTCATGGGGTATGCATACATTCAACTTTAGTCAGTACTGCCACATAGTTTCCCAGAGTTGTGCCAAGGTACACTCCAAAAGAGCAGTCAAGGAGAAATCCAGTCATTCTTTAGCCTTCTCAATATTTGGTACTGTCTTTTTTCATTTTAGCAGTTCTGGTGTTGTGAAGTAGTATTACCTTAGAATTTTAATTTACCTTTCTCCAGTGACTTAATGAAATTGAGCATTTTTTTTTTTTTACATATATGTTGGTTATTAGATACTCTCTTTTTTGGACTGCCCGTGCAAGTTTTTGGTCCATTTTTCTAATGGACCATCTGCCTATTCCTTATTGATTTGTAGAAGTTATTTATATTTTCTTCATTCTTTGTACAATGTTCAAAAACAGGCAAAACTCATCTACTTCAGTTTTTTAATACTTTAAATAAATTTACTTACACACACTCCCCATATGCACAATGTAATTGGTCTAATCTAAAGGAGTAATTGCAGAATTCTTGATCATGAGAGAAACAAGGGCTTCGACTTCTCTAGAGCAGATAGTCTACTTGAATCTGCTCAAAT